GGACAAGAATGTCCTGTCGTTTCATCCCGCCCGTTTCATTTTTCGACTTCGTTCCTTTAGCAAAATCTTGCTATATATGTAGGAAAAGTTCTCCTATATCTGTTCTTAGTACATTGATCAATGTACCAGCATATATTATGCGCCCAGGGCCGTTATCATGCAATAATCTATAACGCAATCGGAAAAATTTGCCTTTACCGAGTTAACTATTTTGCGGATTGGGCCTACTGCCTTCAGACCGAGCTCTCTTAACTTTTTGCGATACGTCAATAGCACCACAAGGGGCTATTCACCTCACAGTCGTTCACGTTTTCCGTATTTACCCATATGTTCCCTCGACTTTCCCTGTGACAGTATTGAATGAGGCGATTACGGCGTGTAGTTTTCAATAACGTACGTGCTATTTCTCTGATCCCTTGCCCAAACGTCCAGCCCGAGGGTGCCCTTAGTCGCAGCACCAACCAGTTCTACACGTTACAACAATTCGGCCCTATTGCGCTTCTTTCCGAGGACTTCCCCCAGACATTTTGTCTTGTTGGTTGTTTTCCTCGTTGATGTAAATAAAAATGGGAATATAAGTTAGCAGCAGCAAGTAGCGTGATGCAAATGGTGGTGGTGGCGGTATTTGGAGGAAATGCGGCCTCTCTTCGACGTTGCTTTCAGTGATTGGATGTCTACTGCCTTCGTCTACAACAACAAAACCAACCAGCCAACAAACAACGTATGCTACAAATGGGGGCAAATATACTCCCCCATTCATAGTAGCAATAGCAGCAGCAGCAGCATTTGAGTCGTTCTGAATGCGCGTTTTACCGTACACTCGCTGCTGTTGCGTCCTCTACCGGCTCGGTGGCTCTTCTCTGTTCCGGCGCACAAGCGAAGTATATGGTATATAGTTGTTCTCGTTCCTCTATAGCGTTCTTATAATCTATGGCCGCCGCTGTCACTCGCAGACTCCGCGCTTACGGAGCTGAGGAGTGTCGGGTCGAGTGAGACTTGTTTTGAGGGTTGTGTCCCGCTTCTTCGTCGGGATGTCAGCAAGCGCGACGAGCGTGCGGGATATACTGGGGCAGGCAGCCAGGC